TTTTTTTTTTTTTTTTTTTTTGCCGTACGCGGGCCTCTCACTGTTGTGGCCTCTCCCGTTGCGGAGCACAGGCTCCGGACGCGCAGGCTCAGCGGCCATGGCTCACGGGCCCAGCCGCTCCGTGGCATGTGGGATCTTCCCGGACCGGGGCACGAACCTGCGTCCCCTGCATCGGCAGGCGGACTCTCAACCACTGCGCCACCAGGGAAGCCCTGCAGTCACCTCTTGATCTTCCTTCCTTTACTGCCTTCAATACTGTCACCAGCCTTGTCCCTGCAATGCTGGTCAGCATTTTGCTTGTTATTAGACTATTAACTTTTTAGTCATATTAATTCCCAAATTTCATAAATTATTTGCTTAGTACTTTTAGCTATGAGTTATTTCCATAGAAGCAGGTATAATATTAAACAGGGATTAAATAGTAAGTTTCATGTTGGTTACTTCATAGAGTGTAGTTCTCAAATCTTTTTCAAATTAAGGCTTTTAAACTATAACTTAAGTCTTCATCTTAATTATGAAGACATGTCCATGATTCCATATTTAACAGTTCTTTTCCTACCTTCAAATAATTATTGTGGTCTTTCTGAGAAAAACAAAAGATCCATCTGTGTTTGTAGCTTTCTAGTCTCCTACTTTTTTCATATCCTGATAAAATTCGCTTCACATGTATTTTTCTGTTTCCTGCATGTCTGCGTTCCCATGTTCCAGACATCTTGTTAGGCACTATAAAACATTACCGCCCAAGATGCCCTTGTTAGAGAACTGTTCTCACTGGAATATTTACAGGTAAGAGTCATAACAGTGAGTCTCAGTTATAAACTGATCCCTAATCCCTCACCAACTAAAAATAGCAAATTTACTTTCTAATAAAGCATTAGCATTTCCTCTTAAAATTAATTATATACAGAGAAAACTCATGATATCTAAAAATAGCTTTTAGGGGGAAAGGGGGGAAGGATAAATTGGGAGATTGGGATTGACATACACAGTCTACTACATATAAAATATGTAGCTAATAAGAACCTCCTGTATGGCGCAGGGAACTCTGCTCATTACTTTTTAATTATATGGGAATAGAATCTAAAAAAGAGTGGATATATGCGTATGTATAACTGATTCATTTTGCTGTACAGCAGACACTAACACAACAGTGTAAATCAACTATAGTCCAATAAAAACTAATTTAAAAATACAATAAAAAAGTCAAAATAGCTTTAATTATAAAACCTATGCTGGAATATTTCTCTAAATGAAATCTGCTTACTCAAATATCCGATTTCTAGTCGTTGTCTTCTTTGTCATTTATTTGTTGTTTTACTTGTTGATTTCAATTATGAGAATTGATTTTATATTATTTTATTTTGGGACGATTTTACTTTGTGGAGCTCAATTCTGCCTGCACATACTAAAACCAAACCCCTTCACCATGAATGCTTTCACTCGAGAGCACTGAGGTTTACTGATGAGATTCTGGTTAGGTAAGGACGTTTGGACGTCATACCGTCCACCTCCCCTGTCTAGTGTTTGAACCAAAAATAGCTGAGTTGTAAAATTTTCCTCCTCTGCTGTCCTTCATTTTGTTTTGGTGTGGCATCTGTCCTTGGTAATGAAGTGTTAGGCATTTTGTTTCAGTGCTTTCTGTATCCAGTTTTTTCATAAGTAGGTGTGTTAGCCTCATTTTTTTCAGTCTGAGACCCTTTTAAAAAAATTATGCAAAGCAATTCAAGCATAATCTTTGTTTAGTGTCTTTTTCTAAACAAAACTGTGCACGGCCATCCTGTCAGCGCTCACACCCTTATGAACCGACTCGCAGTGATTCTGCACTTTGTGTAAAGGGGACAGGACTCGATGCTTTCCTCTCTAACTGGTCTTCCTCTCTCTGTTTTCTCTGTCTTTCTCCTCCACCCTGGATGCAATGCACTGGCACTAGTGACCTGCAGCCCTCCCTTGACAGGGCGAGGAGTGCTAGTACCAACTGCTTGAGACCAGATGCTAGTTTGCATTCACCAGAACGAGAAAGGTATAAAGACTTTCTTAATTTCCTGTCATTTTGTACAGTCATTTTTTTCCCTATCACTCTGTTTTGTGTCCTTGAGTCTCACGGCTTATTCATCCATGTTCACTTGCCGACTGTCTGCATTTCCCCTCCCTTCTGTACACGCCTGTGTAGAGATGTGTGTATGTGGCGGAGCCAGAGGGAGCACATACACACATTTCCGTGGATGCCGTTGCAAATGGCGTGACGTGATTTGTAACTGCTTCTCGCTGCTGCTTTTCCCCTTTCATTGCTGTTCAGTGGTTTTCTTTACACCTCCTCAGGGAGCCTTCGGTACGCTGATATGGTTGTGAGGGCCAGTGAGTTATCTGAAGGGGAAGATCACTTTCCTAGTACTTCCGCTGATAAATAGTATTTATAGGTTCAACTACAGTCTTCCATAAATGCAAAACAAGAATCTTATTTAGATAGAATACTTCCCTTGTGCATCTATATTCAGGGTTTTTTTTAAATCAACTTGCTCTTTGATATAGATCGTTTTGCCTTAAATTATATTTCAACACAAAATAGTATGTTTATCATAGATTTCCTGATGCCTTACAAAAATAAAGGCACATTATATACACACATATGTAATTTTGCTTAACACTTTACATTGATTGATTAATAAATAATTCTGACTTTAATTCAATGATCATGTACTACGCTGTCTCCTAAGTGTGAGCAGCTAATTTTTCCATTGTGGTGGAACTTTCTATTCCAGTAAACTTGGTTATAATTGATAGTCTCGGTTATAATTGTTATCTCTTTTCCATTAGAAGTCATTCACTGGAAATTTGCATACTACCTCTTCACAAATCCTGAGGAAAAATGTTTAGTTGTGTTAATGTAACCCACTTTTCCTCTTCTTCAGAGGCTGCTTCAAGCTTTCCTTTAGCAATCTTTCTAGTCTGATTCTACTCATTTATTTATGAGATGTTTATTTCTGGAACTTAATGATTGGTACAGGTAGACATGTTCATTTTTTAGTGTCTTCATAAGATCCTACTAAAAATATCTACTTTTTAATTTTGTATTCTTTTGTATTTGCAAAATTTGTAATAGAAAACAATGGAATCTAACTTTTTGTATTTCTTTACATTTGTAGAAGAAATTTTAGTTGAAACGGGCTCTTCTTTAGTTGAATGGGCTCTTCTAAAATCACAGTTGAAATTGTTTCATTATTCTTGTTTGTTGTATATTTCCCCCAAAAAATATATACAAGAGTAGCAAGAAAAAATATTTTTATATTTTTTTACTTATTATTATTTCCTTATATGTTTCTGGTTAGTGTTAAAACAAGGATAGAATGAAGTCAGCGGAATCTTCTGACTACAACGATACCCTAACATCTTAAATGTCATCTCTATTGGTTCTGTCTAAGGGAAATACAGTTTGAACCACATGCATAATTTTAAATTTTCTGCTTGCCATATTAAAATATGAAATTAACTTTAATACTTTAGTATATATCTGAAATATTATCATTTTAACATATAATCAGTTAAAAACTGTTAGTGAGATATTTTGCATTCCTTTTTTTTTTTTTTTTTTTTTTTTTGCGGTACACGGGCCTCTCACTGCTGTGGCCTCTCCCATTGCAGAGCACAGGCTCTGGACGCGCAGGCTCAGTGGCCATGGCTCACAGGCCCGGCCGCTCTGTGGCATGTGGGATCCTCCTGGACCGGGGCACGAACCCACGTCCCCTGCATCGGCAGGCGGACTCCCAACCGCTGCGCCACCAGGGAAGCCCTGCATTCCTTTTTTCACAGTGCTCCTTGACCACTTGTGGCTACGACATTGGACAGTACAGTTTTATTCTGTCACTGAAGCCTGTCGAGCACGTGTTTTCTTGTTGCTCTGAAGCCAGAGAATTCACAGATCCATGTATTGGTGAATTTCATCTCTGATAATACCCTTAGAACAGGCCAACCTGTAGACAAATAATCTGGTCACGATTCTTTTACAGGTCATAGTGAGGTCTGAGTGCACTCACTTATGATACGTACTTTTGATAGAAGAGAAAATATGATTGAAACTTACATTCACTCTATCTATTGAATAAAAAATAAATTTCCCCTTAAAAAAATGAAAGGGGACTGGAATTGGTGTTACTAATGTTCTTTAACTTATTGGGGTCAATTTGTTGTCAAGAAGAAAATAAAGTGAGATGAGTTCTCATCAGGAAATTTACAGATGCTGTAGGTGTGTCTTGGTGTGGAGGATGCCGTCCTTCTGCGCACAGACCTCTGAGCAGCTTTGAGACAGGACAGAGTAGGACCAGCAGTGGGGGCTTTGTGCTCTTTGGAAGATGCACCTGTAAGTCCCCAGACAGGACGTGAGGAGAGTAGGAACTGTGGAAGCTTTGAGAGTTTTCCAGGTTACTTAGTTCTGGTGACTGACCAGAGAGCTGATCAATGCCTGACATATACATAGTAGATAAGATATTATAGAAAAGTTGTTAAAGACATAACTTCATATTCTTGAGATGGTGACCTATCAGTATTTCCACAGCCTTGTAACCTATCGAGGTCAAACAATTTGCTGATTCTAAACTATCTTGATGAACATGTGTATGCTGTTATACCTACTTAATGCCCTTTTCTGGAGTATCTTCACTAACTCTGAAAGCAAAGGAAGTTCTGTGTTAGTACAAAAGATGAAATTGTTAAAGCAGACTCGGTACCCCACACCGCACTTCACTGATTATTCCAATATAAAGGAGCGCCAGGCACAGTTAGCATGTTCTCTTCCCGAAGGACCCCAAAACCATCAGGCCGACCTTTTCTCCCTTATGAGGATGGTTTGGCCCAGGTTAACAGATGAATTTTGAGACAGGCACGTGGAAACACTGTTTGCAAAGGAAGTAATTTCTGTGTTTGAGCATCTCCATTATATAATATATTCTGTTGATCACACAACTAGCAAAAATACGTAGGGGTTACCCCATTGCCCCATCCAGTCATGACCCATAAGTCAGGAAATCTGGGGTTCATTTACAGTGAAAGATCTAGAAAGACTAGTTGTACCCTGCTGAAGACCTTGAATAGATAAGGACTCTCTTTTATCTTTTCTCTAGCAAATACCACTGCATGCTTACAAGGAGGTCTGGTCAAGGTCCCTGTACTTTCATCTGTGTCAAGGTCAGCTTGAGGTTATCGGTTCCCCCTTGTTCCCTGATCCGGAAGGAGTGAGTTCCAGGCCTGCTGTTAACCTTTCCTTTCCCGGGCTTTACAGCAGAATGTTGCTTACGTGTTCAGAAACACTGATTTCTAGAGCCACTGGAGAATGATTCCTTTCCTCGGATGTTTTATCTTCTTCCTTGACCTCTTCCAGAAATCTAACGTCTCCTTTCTTCAGCATCCTCTACAAATTCCCTAACACCTCTGTGCTGAGGCAGTCTCCTTTACAGGCTGCTTAACCTCCCTGTCTCTGTCTCCCCCTCAGCTTTCCTCTTTTACCCCACCCATCCCATCCCTGAAATTATATGTCTATCAGTCAAAAGTTTCCACACTGGGACATCCCTGGTTGCGCAGTGGTTAAGAATCCGCCTGCCAATGCAGGGGACACGGGTTCGAGCCCTGGTCTGGGAAGATCCCACATGCCGTGGAGCAACTAAGCCCGTGAGCCACAACTACTGAGCCCTCGAACCACAACTAATGAGCCCGCGTGCCTAGAACCCGTGCTCCGCAACAAGAGAAGCCACCGCAATGAGAAGCCTGCGCACCGCTACGAAGAGTAGCCCCCGCTCGACACAACTAGAGAAAGCCCGTGCGCAGCAACGAAGACCTAACACAGCCAAAAATAAATAAATAAGCTTAAAAAAAAGTTTCCACACTAATACATATGGAGACAACACTCCACTGTAACTGGTCATGCCAGACCCTCCCCTGCAAACCAGGCCTAAATTTCTCGGTGGTTGGTAGACCCTGTGTGCATCAAAAGTCGAAATCGAATGCACTGTCTCCCTCAAATCCTCTGCAAGCAAAATGCTTTCTCTTCTGAAATGTCCCTGTACTTTGGCAGCTTTGACATATAACCATCCACAAAATCTGGAAATACTTCTGCTCCTTTGTCTCATTTGATGAGACAGGAAGTCCTATCGGTTCTCCTTCAAGAATCTCCAAGACAGATCCCGCCCCCCCCGCTTCATTATACTATAGCCCATCCCCACTTCCGATGCCATTCTTGCCCCGTTAATTTCTCATAAGCTCTATTAATCGTTCTGTTCCTTTTTGTCTCAAGTCTTTTTCCCATTAAAATTGAAATACCCTTTTTCCTTTGTTGTCTGCCTAAAAATTCTCCTCATTCTTCAAAACAGGAAGTCAAATAACCATTTCGTCTATAAAACTTCTCTTAACCTCTCCCGCACATGCTTGCCTTTCCTTGCCAGGCAGAATTATTAACTCTCTTTTCTGGGCCCATGTAACACCACATGCGTTCTATTTCACTTAGTCACGCTTGTTTCTTCCACTAGACTGTACTCCTGGAGGTCAGGGATCGTATTTGGCCTTGCCATCTCTTGCGATAGCATTATTAGTTTTTACTTAGTACATGTTCCATCTGGTGCTTTGGGGGAACTTAAAAAACACCCCATATTTTCTGCTCCGGAATCTGTGTCCAGTTGTGAGCTAGACCCAAGAACTGCAAGGTGGGGGATCTAATTATCACCGTAAATACAGTGAACAAGTGCAGAAGCTAGACTTCAGGTTGTAAGCTTGCCGGTGACTCACCAAGAGGCTGCCACACTTTCTGAACCACGAGAGGCTTCTGCCTTCTGAGGGCTGCTGGGCAGGTTGATTTGCTGTGGGGTTTGCTGTTTGCAGGCAGACTGATTAGGAAGGAGGAATCCAGAAAGGGCTAAGTCATCAGTGCCTGATTCTTTAACACAAAGTCCCCCTCCTCCCTCCTTGGGGTGGAGAGAGGCCCGAAGTAGGACTTGAAGGAATTTCCCTCCACATGGAAACACGAGGCCTAAGAGAAAG